ACCCTGCAACCATTTCCATTTCCAGGGCATGTGGACAGGGGCACATGGCACGGCCATCCACAGCCTAGAGGTGGGGTGTATGATGGGGCCAGGCTCAAGGACAGCACCTTCTGCGAGCTCTGAACCTCTAAACCAAAAGGTGGTGGCCAAGCTTGTTTGGGGGTGGCCCATCCCCTCAGGACTGGCCCAGCACCTCACCTGTGCCAGGCGCAGCCCCACTGAGCTGACAGAAGGATCTGCCCTGAGCCAACCCCCCGCCTTTCAGGCCACATTCTCCATGTGGAAAACCTTACCAAGGTTCCCAAGGGAATGGGCGGTGGTGCTCACAGGGCTTTCATAGTGACAGGACACATGCTAATAAATGAAGGTACATATTTGCCTGTCTTGTTTTGTGTAAATAAAGACTATTGCCAGCAGGTCTTGAAAGCCAAGAAACCACAAAACTCAATGGGCATGGGTTGAGCATTTAAAGGCTGCTAGAGCTCTGACCATCTCAAAGAGACACCCATGATGGCAGAAGGTGGTCATAGAATAGGTTAGATGGACACCAGGTCACCTGTCAGCCTCAAGAAAATTTTCCTATAACTTGGTACCCTGTGACACACTGCACAGCCCTCAACCCCATGACACCTCCCTTTCAGGTATTAGCTTGGCTCCACAAAACCCAAAGCCATAACTACTGGGATCCTTAAATTCTAGAGTCAGGTGTGCTAGGCTTTTCACACACCTGCTTACTTTCTAAGAACTGTAGTCCCAGAAGGTACAGATATCTAGAAAGATGAAAACATTTATTAAAAATAACCTAGAATTATAGTGGCCATTATGGGGAATTTCCAGTTGGACAGAACTATTCACTTAAGATGTATACATGAAAGTCAGGGTTCTCAGTTTAAATAAACAGAATGGGGTACTTATTTTAATGCATATGCAGAAGACTCCAAAAGCCTTCAGTATTCCAAAATAGCTGCATTGAAAGATTCACTACAAAAGGCTACTAAAAAATTAGAAACACAAGAGGTGCTTAAGACCAAAGACTGTAAGACTGACTTACGTCCTCCACCTCCTCAGCCCTCCTTGCCCTGAGTGCTGCATCTGCTACTTTCCTGTCCCAGGTGCCTTTCCACCTGAAGACACACTCACCTTTTTACAGGACACCACCTGAGGTTACAGGTGATCCTCCTGAGAGGCCTTTCATTGTTGGTCAAGGACTGAACTGAGGCCCACAGTAAAATATTTCTTTTTTTTTAATATTTATTTATTACTGAGAGACAGAGACAGAGCATGAGCATGGGAGGGGCAGAGAGAGGGGAGACTCAGAATCTGAAGCCGTCTCCAGGCTCTGTGCAGACAGCTCAGAGCCTGACATGGGCCTCGAACCCAGGAACCATGAGATCATGACCTGAGCCAAAGTCGGACATTTAACCCACTGAGCCACCCAGGCGCCCCGCCCACAGTAAAATATTTCTTAAACCTGAGCAGGGCCCCCAAGAGTTTTTAGTTTGTTTGTTTCATATTTATTTATTTATTTATTTATTTATTTATTTATTTATCTATTTGTCTGTATGTGTTTGTTTCATTTTTTAAAAATGTTTATTTATTGATTTTGAGACAGACTGCACTTGAGAGCCAGGGAAGGAAAGAGAAAGAGGGAGAAAGAGAATCCCAGGCAAGGTCCATGCCAGCAGCACAGAGCCTGACTAGAGACTTGATCTCATGAACCGTGAGATCATGACCTAAGCTGAAATCAAGAGGCTGATGCTTAACCAATTGAGCCATGCAGACACCCCTTTTTCTTTCATTTTTAAATCAATTCCTCCTGAGAAATAAAAATTCACATTATCCCTTCCTTTCCGAGTCCAGTCTCATTGGTTATGGATCCTTTTTTCCCAGGAATAACTATTTCCTTCTTGTCCGTTTGGTTTTACATCCTAAGAATGTGGCTTGGCTTTCCACTTGCCTGGGCTCTCTCTTCAGCTATCTTTGGGAGTGGCTCTAGATCTTGTCAAAGTAGTACTGTTTACACCCTTTTGGAGGATGTCTTTCAGGTCCATGATGTTGTTTAATACTGCCAGAAATGTTATTGGTTTTCCTGGCTAAAAACTGATAATATATTTTTAAAATTTTTTATAACTCTATAAGAAAAACTTACACCAAAATTAAAGTTGATCATCAGAGCCTGCTGGAATTTTTTTGTTTTAATTTTTTTTTCAATTTTTAATTTTTAGGCCTTATTCTACCAAACAGAAAAATAAAAACAGATCCAAAGTAAAAGGTTTTTTTAAGATTTTATTTTTTAAGTAATCTCTACACCCGACATGGGGCTTGAACCAACAACCCAGAGATCAAGAGTCACATGTTCTATCAACTGAGCCAGCCAGGCTCCCCTGAACTAGTAAGTTTTATACCTATTTCATGACAGTAATTTTACACCAGAAGCTATAAGGTCTGCGACTCTGTACACTGACGTTCACATTTTTATGTGTTGTAAACGCTTCCACATTCAGATGGCATTGCTAAAATTCCCTTGTGAAGACCTCTATTTACCTGGTTCAAAGGCAAATGACAGTAAGCACTGGGCATTCTAAAACTGCAAAAGGTAGAGACCAACCCAAATACTTTCAAGTTCAAAAGATCTAAGAAATTACTTGATAAGGTACTTTAAGTTTGATGGTTTAATTAACACAAACACATCTTTAGAGTTATCAACAGTAAATAAACAGACTTGTATTCTACCTGAGTTTACTAACCAAATAAGTTATCTCTTATAAGATCTTACAGCCACAAAAAAATGAATAAATAAAATAATAGCCTAGGATAAAACTTACTTTGTCTAATGCCTAATAAAGCTTTGTAAGTAATCTGCACAAAATTGTTAAAAACAAGTAGATTAAATCTCAAGTTTTGGAGCAAATTTTTTAAATGTGGATGCAGGGGCCAAGTGCAGGCTGCTCCAAGATGGGCCACTTTGGCAAAAAGATTGTTTTGGAGTTAAAAGAAACCAAAACCCAGCTGATTCAGGAAAAACTCTTTACCTCTCCCCTCAACTATCTGTCTGTAGAAGGAAGGGGACATTAGCCTACAGATTGCTCCTTCCCTAAGAAACTAAACTACACAACAGGACAAACATTGTTTTCCAAACATCCTGCTTGCCAATGGTCTCCCTCCTCTTTGTATCCCCAGCCCTGACCTTTCTCCTTATCTCAGGGTGTCCTGTGAGCCTCATGTTGCCTGTCTTTGGAATTCCATGACAACATGGGTTCCCTGTATGTATGAAACTAAGTTTGATTTTTCTTCTGCAACTCTTAGATTCTTAGCCCAACTTAAAGGGCAGAGGAAATTTTTCCTCCTGGTAACTAACAAAATTCAACCAAATAAATTTGGAGATCTAAGTGGCTTTCTGAAATGCTTCATGAATCAGGCAGGACCCCACTGAGCATATAGAGATGTGCATCCAGGAGTAGTACAAAATGGAAGACTTTATAGAAGGGGGTGTCCAGAGAGTTATTAGCAAAGGAAAAGGATTGCTCCTGGCAGTGCTCTTTCTAGGGGACAAAACATGGTTTCTACCTCACCTCTTTGAGGGACGGAGAGGACCCAAGTGGCAGACTCATTGGACTAGATTGAAAAATTCCTGGCTGACAGGTTAATATTACATTGGTGGGGTAGGTGGAAACTGCAGTTAGGTTCTATATTAAGAACCACTTTGAGGGGCTCCTGGGTGGCTCAGTCGGTTGTCTGACTTTGGCTCAAAGTCAAGACCTCACGGTTTGTGGTTCAAGCCCCGCATTGGTCTCTGTGCTGACAGCTCAGATCCTGGAGCCTGCTTCAGATTCTCAATCTCCCTATCTCTCTGTCAAAAATAAATAAACATTAAAAAACAGAACCAGTTTGGGAACTTAGCTGAAATGACATTCTGGATTTAAAATGACTACTTTTGATGGGTATTGCAAAGATTATAGAGGATAAGTTATATGGCAGTCAGCATACAATCCCTAGCATATAGCTACTATATTATTCTTCATGATGTTCTGGTATTTAAGAGGGCCCTTATCATCAAAACACCCTTGTTAGGGTCATATCTTAAGATATATCACTGAAGATTTGAGAACTGTCAAACAGTCCAGAAATAATAGGACACATGACAAGCCCTTGAGGTCTGGGAAGGGAAAAGCACCTGAGGTCACAGGACCCAACAGAGATGGACAGAGGATTAGGGTCAGAAGGCCACACATCTGTCAGCTGGAGCCATTCCAACACACTGCCTCAGGTGTGCTCTCTGCTCAAGGTTGGATGGAGAATAAAGGACTAAGGTGCACTTGGAGTCTCTCAACCAAACCAGCTTCCATCATCATAGCTTTCTGCCCAGATTTTCCTTGCTTATTGGGTCCCCAAATGGGCATGATGCACTGAAAGAGGTCAATCATGGGTAGATCTTTGGGCAAAATGCAATGCTGCCTCCTGGACTCACCTCAGTGAATCTTGCTCATCAGTGATCAAGCTGGTGTTCTTCCCCTCTTTTCTTGCGTGTTCTCAGAAAAATAATCGGCAGGTCAAAAACTACTTTCTCCACTTCTAGTGGATTCACTCTCCAAACTGGACTTGTCAGAAAATATGAGTCAACAGTTGCCTTAAAATTTCAGTGTCTAGGTCTTGACCTATTTGTAATCTAATGGAAAAGGTAGTGGGTTTTTGTGAAAATACAGAGTATGTGGATGTTTAATTATCAAGTGGAACAACTAACCAAACCAGTGACCTGGCTCATGAGCAATAGTGTCACATGTTGCTTACATGGTCGTCCTGGGGATGGGACAGGAATGCATCATTTCCCTGGCTTGTCTCCCCCCATTAGAGCTTTCATGAACAACTTGGCAGAGGCTGTTTTTAAGGATTCTCAGAGGGACCTTGGCCATTGTCCTCCCAGCAATTTCTTCTGTTTTTTAATTAAAAAAAAAAAAAACAAAAAAACAAGTAGGGAGCAACCCAGGAGAAGGAGGGCCAAGATGGCAAAAGCAGCAGAGTCTTTGGGAGAGCCAGGGACAACGTGGCCCAGGCCCCCGTTTGCAGGCCTTTCTGATATATCCATCTCACAAGACATCCTCGTGGAAGGAGAATTCACCATTCCTATGAGATCTCACATTCAGGAATTTGACAGCTCCACGTTAAATGAATCTGTTCAGAATACTATTATGCGTGATCTAAAAGCTGTTGGGAAAAAATTCATGCATGTTTTGTACCCAAGAAAAAGTAATAGTCTTTTGAGAGATTGGGATTTATGGGGCCCTTTGATCCTTTGTGTGACACTTGCATTAATGCTTCAAAGAAGCTCTGTAGATAGTGAAAAGGATGGAGGGCCCCAGTTTGCAGAAGTCTTTGTCATTGTCTGGTTTGGTGCAGTTACCACCACCCTCAACTCAAAACTTCTTGAAGGAAACTTATCTTTTTTCCAGAGCCTCTGTGTGCTGGGTTACCGTATACTTCCCTTAACAGTGTCAATGCTGGTTTGCCAGTTGGTCCTTTTGGCCGAGCAGGGACCAATAAACTTCATGGTCTGGCTTTTTGTGGTGATTGTGATGTTTGCCTGGTCTATAGCAGCCTCTACAGCTTTTCTTGCCGATAGCCAGCCTCCAAACCGCAAAGCCCTCACCATTTATCCTGTTTTCTTGTTCTATTTTGTCATCAATTGGATGATTCTCACCTTCACTCCCAAGTAAATCAGGAAATGGAAATTAAAAGCCAGTGAATTGAAAGCTCATCTGAAGGATACAATTCACCATGGAGCTTTGCCTCTGGCCCTCTTTTGTCTAATTTTGGAGATATTTTGAGATGAAATGGGAGCCATAAAGCACCATTGCCACTTATATAAGGAACTGATGTTCGAAAGGTTGTCCTTTTCCTCTTAATGTCATTTCTTGAAAATACATAGTATACACAGTATAGTGCTGCCTTAAGGCATGATAGGGTCACTGTGGTCCATTTGAGTGACAACCAATGATTTAGAAAGCACATGGATACATCCTGCAAGTTGAGTAGAATTAGTAAGTGTATTTTCAGTTTTGAGAATACCAGTTCAGGTGCAGCTCTTAAATACATTGCCTTATGACTATTAGAATATGCCTCTCTCTTCATAAATAAGAATGGATAGTCTGTATACATTTTCTTTTATTTCTCTCTTAGGCTTAAAAAGGCAATGACAGAGTTTGGGAAGGGGTTTCATAATTGGGTAGGAGAAAACATGCATTCACCAGTGTTCAGATTTTGACAGGGGAAAATTCTACACTTGTTGCTTTTTTAAAAAGCAAAGGGCAGCTAAAGAATTGGCTTCTTTAGTCTTTTCATATAGTCACCTTTCTGCCATGCTTAACAGCACCTCAGTGACACTCTAATTTGTCACCTTACCCCCCCCCAGCTCTGAATATGCAAACTGTTCGCAGTTACCATATAATTTTCCTTTGATTAAAGCTCTCTGTGGACCAGTGCTTGAACTTATCCAGGTGGAAGACCTTAGTCCTTCATTCATATTATCATGTGGGCACTTTCTTCTTAACAGTAGGAGGTAGTTTGGATACAGCATAACTCTAAAGAATTATTCTGCGTAGTCTGGCCTCTAACTAGAAAGTAAAGCTAAATCAGAAGCCTGCACTTAACCATGTGAACACGGAGGGATTTAGTGTTCTGATGGCTGGTTCACAGAACAGCTAGATGCTTAGAGCATGATGTAGAATGAGTTAGGTTTACAGCTGCCACCTTTTCATAGTGGGCTTAGCAATTTTTCATTAGATGTGCTTGTCGGATTGGGGAATAGCAATATATTTTCTTGGTTTTAGACTTTATTTGTAAATCTAATTAACTCTTCTTTAGACAAGTACTTTTTTTGCACATGTGCACCTGCTTGTATTCTCAGCTATTTATACACACAAGTGTGAGGGCTTTTCAGGGAGCAGAGTGTCTGGAAAGGCTGATTTCTAAGCTAAACTGGGTTCCTTTAAGGTAATATGAGCTACTGCCTTCTATAAATTGCACATTGAAGAACTCTTAGTAGACAAAAGATTGGGAGTCAGGCAGACAACATCCACTGTATATACAGTTACTTATAAAAATAGGAATTTATTCCACATTTTTTCTTTATCATGGAATTTAAATATTTATTCATTTTGTATCTAAAGACTATCTACACATAGATATATAATTTTAAAAACACACTTTCTCCATTCTCAGCTTAACTAAGAACAATACTAGGACAAATGGGTTCCTGGAGTGATATTAAATTACAGAGCATTACAGAGTTGGTCCCCTCTGTCCCAGCCTTGTCCAGAGTTTTTGGTTATATCTTTATTTCAGCTTCCCTTCTAAATTTCAAAATAAACCCGTGAGCACAAAGCCAATGTTTCAGTCTTAAAGTGGTAAAGAAAATATTTTGAAACTGGTTCTGATTGGTCCAAAAGTATCATCCATTTCCATTGTCTGAAATTTTCTAACTTCTTACCAAAAACATCTCTCTTCCAAAGTTATTTCATACTCTGTCACAATGGTTATAATGTAAAATTTAAAAAAATAATACTGTTTCTCAAAAGGGAATTATCTGCTGAATTTTATTCAGGCTAAATATTTTGGTCAGGAATTTTTAGGGCCACAAATGAAGTAGGGGTTGTGTGGGGGTGGGTGGCGGGGGTTATACATATTGGGTGTTAAGGCAGCTTGTTTTGTATATTAACCTGTTGCTCTTTGGTGGCTTCAAGAATGGTTTTATTTGATTTAAATGAAGGTGGGTAAAATGGAGATTATCTTTCTCAAAATGAATGATCCATTTTATGGCATAAATTATATTTTCTTAATATATGCAAAAAAAGTGCATTGCTTTCTGTAGCAGAAGACCTGATTGTCTGGAAGTTGTAATCCTCAACACAGCTTTCCCTGATTTGCTGCAAAGGCACATGGCTAATTATAGAAAGAAAGACTGTAAGAGAAGGGGATTTTAACAAAGGAAACCCTCTTCCAAGAATTGGGAATTTTCATGCTTTAGATGAAACTCAAGTATGTGAGCATCATTACCAAATGTGGTGGATCATTGCCGAGTGTGGTGCATCACTACTGTCGTGGCTTGTCATTTGCTGCTCCTGCTTCTGAGATTGAGCCTCCACTGTCATATTCTTTAGCAATAGGAAGGGTAAAGACTGGATTTAATCGCTGTTCAGATTATAAAAACTCAACTGATGCAAACATATTTGAATGTGCCATGTAGTCATAAATGTCAGCCATACTAATTTTCAAGTCTTTTGCATTTTAAAAGGCTTATTACATGAATTCAATTGGATCTTTTTATTTTGATGGGGTTTTGTTTTGTTGGGCAAGGTGGGCTTGTCCCAGAGCATGGGACTGGTAAGCATTTAACTGTTTACTATATTTGTCTTTTTATAAAGTATTCCCCAGATGTGATGAGAAGGTTAGCAAGCCTTTGTATTTGAAGATTTAATTGTACACTTTTTATAAGCTAACTACTTACTGTACCTGGACTTCCTGTTTATTCCTGGAGATGAAAATGAAAATCTCCTGCCATTTCAAATCTTTGGGTCATCAAGTCATTGAAATGTATCTAAATGCTATCATGATATGATCAGACATCCATTGCATGCAGCTGTTTTATTCCAGGTAAAATACTGACATTATTACTCTTCATTAGACTGTTAATTTCTGAGACAATTTGGATAGAAATAAATGTGTGAATGTTAAAAAATAAAAAATTAAAAAACAGGTAATCACTTTGAAAATATGACAAAGTTCTGGTAAGTGAGATTAAAAAAAAAAAAGCATCCAAAATTCCAGTCTACTTCCTTGTGGCCTCATGAAACCAGTAGACAACTGGGATTTATGGCTCGCTCAAGGAATACTCTGTTTTGACTGATGGCCTTTGATCATCATAATAAACTTTATCTTATCTTACAGATGAATGAACTAAAGCTTAGAGAGGTTTGGGACTTTCCTTAACAAGCAAGCAGGGAGCCAGGATTTTATCTCAGGAGCTGTAAGGTATAATTCCATACCAGAAAGCACTTAGCACCACAGGGCTGTGCCAGACCCAAGATGGAAGGCTGACAATCAGTGAAGATAATGGAAGAGAATTGCAAAGGACAATAGTTAATGTTTTATGCTGCAGCCAAGGGACCTCACACCTTCCCCACCACCTCCCCAAAATCAGTACCCTAGGCACAGTCCCTAAAATGATGGTTTGGAGAATTGTTGCCAGGCATGGGAAGACACTTGTAGAAATCAGAATCCAGTTGTTATGATGATCAGTACTAGAATCTACTATGTACAAAGCTGTGTCTGAAACATATAATCTCTCTATAATCACTTCATTTTTACCAAAGGTAGTCAAATTAATATTATTTGCAAAATATGTCTAGTTTTGAAAAATACTTGGCCTGATTATTTACCTAAGTGCAGCAAGAATAGTGATTGACATATGATTTCATCTTCTGACATCTTCTTGGGGCTTTATAGGCTCCATAAAGTCAACCTTAGTTCCTTAAAGCTGTCTGGTCAGATCTGAGTCTGTGCATGTCTTTCCCAGGTAGGTAGGACATTCCACTCAAAGCCTTGGTCATATAACCAGTGTTTCCAATGTGTCCCTGTTCTAAGGAAAACAGATTCTTACTGAATGTATGCAAATAAATACATTGCCATAAAATATAAGAGTACTCAGTGAGGTTCTGAATTTTGGAGGGTTCAAGTGGGGAGAAAAGACGGCTGTTTCAATCCTGCTTACAACAGTGTAATACATCAAATTGCTAGAAGTCAGTTAGCTTAAAAGAAAATGTTTCCTTAACTCTGGGAAAACAAAACATTTTTTAAGTGAGCATGAAGTCATAAAAATGCTACCAATCCTCCTTGGTTCATTCAGTCCCATGTTATTAAGTCTTGTTCTGCTTGAATCCAGTTTTTCCACTAGTTCTGGATATTTTTACATAGCTCGGTTTTATGATCTTAAGGTTGTCAGAAATCTATACTCAGAGGTTTAGTTTCTGGTTTTGTTTCTATGTTTTATTTTTTTCATGAGCCTCACTGAAGATGAAACACATTGGCAGGAAGCTTTTATAAAAGTATTTGAGTAGAAGTATAAATGTCTGTAAATAATAAAAAGCTTGAAAACTGCCATGGCTAAAGAACTGGTGAGAGTTCATGACAATACAATTGACAAGGACATTTGATTGTTTCTGACACACAACACTTCAATATAATAACAGACCTGGACATCAGGTCTCTGTGGGCTTTATACGATTTTATACGATTTTGAAACACTTATTTTAATAACATCTCTATACAATTATAATCTAACAGAATTTAGCATCACTTACTCGACAATGCTTTAATTTTTTGTCATTTTTAACACACCAAGAAAGGCTAATTAATTTCTCAGAAAATCTTTTAACTGTTCCTATATATATATATATATATATATAATGTGTGTATATATGTGTATATATATGTATATATACACACATACACATCAAAAGGTTTGAACATTTGATTAAATGGGATGATAGATCATTATGTAACAGTAGTTACGCATTTAACAAAGTGACAATAAAGGATGTCAAAGGCAAAAAAAAAAAGGAAAGAAAAGAAAAAAGATGTCAAAGGTTATATAGTTATAAGCAAAATTTGTTAAGATTTTTAATAGAAAGACTCAGTTTTCTTAAGTTTTCAAAATCCA